TTTCTGCTCAAGTGTATAATGTACAGAGTGCTCAGCACTGGACTTATTTTTCCTTTTCCACCCTGGATGCAACCTCTCACATATATGGACAAATTGGGACTACATATATACTAATAACACCTGTATATTTGGAAGACAAGAAGATCCCTATCTCCAGGACAAAGTCAATGTTACAATTACCCTCAGATCTCTAGCATCCAGCACACCTATATGTTTTTCAAAAGTTAGCAACAATATTGAATCATATCTGTTCCTTGTTACATCATTTGTTAATACCAGTTTATCTATTGGGTATTTAATTTTATTCAATCTAATACTACTTTTGAATTGAAATGATACTTGTATCAATTGTACGGTCAAACAATGTATTGATCATAATGACTATATTGTACTTTTGGTAAAACAATAAGCATTTGTTATTTTCCCTACTAATATTACACATGAATAGTTCAGAACTCTGGTAAACATGTTCTAAAATTATTTCCTCCTTAAGTCAATCAAAACAATTTATTGTCTCCTTATTACTGGTTTAATCATTGTTGCTTCTTTTAGTGTATCTACTACTGTTTTATCTTTTGTGCCACAATCTGAAATCCAAACTGTATAATTTGTATATGACTTAGCAAAAAATATGTTTACTGCTTAATGCACAAGAACCTATTGATACATTGTATAAAGTCAATTTATTAGAACAATCCGTATTGTATTTAGCAGATAAGTTAGAACCCTTGAAAACAAGGTTGCTATTGCAATGTGATTACAGATATTCACATATTTACATTATCCTGCTACCCTATGATGCTTCAGATCCTAATATCTCATGAGACAAGACAAGTGCCTGCCTATTGGGGGCCTGGCACAATTCTAAATACCACCCAGGTGATTGCAGATAGTCACTCCCCAGGGATTAACCCAAAAAATCTGGCTGTAGAGATCTTAGAAAAATTAAGTGTGATCAATATATTTAAGAATTTACCTGCCTTGTTACTTTATGCATTTTCTTGTGTAGTGTTATTATCCCCTGTATTGTTACCTTAATTAAATCAAGGATCACAGTGTTGGGCAACGGATGTTTACCACCTCAAGCTGCTTGCTAATTTGAAAAGGGAGGAACTTGTTGAGGGCCGATCTTAAGAGTCTGATATGGGTTTAAGATCCAGGGCAGAGTTTGACCTCTGCCCAGGCTTTTACCCAAAAGGCTCAATGATTAAGAGGTATGGCTCTCCAATCTCTCCCTGTTAGGAGGTTCCTGAGACATTCCTTCTCACTCTTTGAACCTTAGATTTACACATTCACTCCTCTATGCAGGTGATGCCAAGGCGCCTGGGAAAACCTTGGAAAATACAACCCAATCTAGGAACCCTGATAACGAGGAAATGTATGTTGTCACGTCCTCAGCAGAAGTTTTGGGGAGTATCTCATGGGGAGAACTCTTTGAAGTTAGGATAGATTTTCTCTATATATCCTGTACCCTCAGATGAATAAACTGAGTCAGTTCTGCTGCTCCACCTGGCCCATGTCTCATGTTTATTTCACACCTCTCCATTTGGTGTATGATCTGGTTGCGGGCAACACTGGGTCACACAGCTACTAGGTATCTGAGGCTAGATTTGAACTCAGGAAGGTGAGGCTTCCTGACTCCAAGCCCAGTGCTCTATCCAATGTGTCACCTAACTGCCCATAAGAACGAAAGCAGCAGGGGCAGCTAGGTGGCGCAGTGGATAGAGCACCGGCCCTGAAGTCAGGAGGACCTGAGTTCAAATCCAACCTCAGACCAAACACTTGACACTTACTAGCTGTGTGACCCTGGGCAAGTCACTTAACCCCAATTGCCTAAAAGCAAAAAAAAAAAAAAAAGAATGAAAGCAGCAGGTAACTAAGGGATTAAAAGCTAAGTCTCACACTGGGCTCTAGTGAAAGAGCTGGTGGCCCAGAAGTTTACACAAGGTAAGGAACCAAGGTCTAGGGCTATCTCTTTGCAGCTTTACATTGCCCCAGATGGTTTCCTGTTCTTGCCCACCCCCTAACTATGCTCCCTAGCCCACCCTGAGGCTAGGAGACTTAGGGGCAACTGGGAAAAATTTGTTTAAGCAAAGTCATGTTTTAGGGTAAGGCTAGGCAAAAAAAAAATTGTAAGGTAGTTTGTTTTGGAAACCTCTAGCCTTGGGGTTCTGAGCCTTTTCCTAATTCTCACCTTCTTCTCAATAACTGGACTCTCCTGGCTTCCCAAATTAGGGGGTGGGGCTCAGCGACCTCTAAAGTTCAATTTCTTTCTCTAGCTTGGCAGCCAACTTGCTTTCAGATCCTTATCTTCCATTCACACTGAAGTGAGGTGTCAAAGCAAAGCTGTGGCTCCCTCCTTTGCATTTTAACTAAGGTGGAAAGCTTAAATTAAATGGATAAAGTTCTGGCAGTACAATTTCACCCAGTTGTTGTCCCATGCCAAAGCCAGCTGTGACCCAGGTTATGACTGGGAAGGTCTGGAAGCAATCTGGTGTGCTGGAAGGAGTAATCAACTTGGAATCAGAAGAGCTATACCCTGATTCTGGCTCCTGCCAGACTGAATAAAGTGTGACCCTTTGGGTGAGCACCTGGCCCTCTTGAAGCCTCAGTTTCCTGAAGGAAATACCTGTATTACCTACCTCATGGAACTGCTGTAAGAATCAAATGAGATAATGGAGTTGAAAGATTCTATGTAGTTATTCATCTATTTTTGTAAGCACTTATTTTCTCTCCCCAACTACTTTCCCTCTACCTAATAGTAACAAAAACAGAAAAGAAAACCTTCCTAACAAATGTGCATCTATATTCCATATAATTTTTTCTTTGATTTTTATCTTGTGAGGGGGAAACCCTGACAGCAGAGCAGATGATCTCTGGGAGTTCTGTGACCTACAACTTAATTATTCTTTTCATGATCGGCTACTTACGAACTTACCTACCTGGTCTTCTGATGGGTAGTTACCAGACCTTTACAAAAATGAATTATTAATTATACATAAATATTATACATAGATATACAAATAATATAAAAACAGTATTATCTATAGGTACTTTATTTCTCACCTGGTTCTACTCTTTTGGATTTTTTAAACTTTTTCTGGGATCATCATGCGCCAGGAATCTAATCTCTGAGAAGTCTCATCATTCCATAAGATCTAATCAGCTTTGGTGCTCCCACCTCATCAGTACCTTCTGCCACTCTGATTGAAGGGCAGAGGCATGAACTCCAAAACCCCCATTTAAGGAGGGGCATCTCTTTAAGGAGATGCTGGCCCAGGCCAGCCATCTCTTCATTTCCCACCAGGCTGAATTCTTTTGGACACCTCTATCATGGCCCCCCATCTCCTACCCACCTCCTCCTTTTCAGTTTCCTTTTGTATATTGTCTTCCCCATTAGACGGTAAACTCCTTACAGGTAGGAACTGTCTTTCCTTTTCTTTTATTATCTGTATTTGTGTCTAAGCACAGTGCCCAGCACATAGTAGGTGCTTATAAATATTTGTTAACTAACTGGCTGACATTGCCTCTTTTGGGGATTCATGAGTCCTGGGTATAAGTCCCCTTTTCCTCTATAATTATCTCTGAGGCCTCATTAATACAAAACTACCACATGGAGATCTTGACCTGAGGGTGATACTGATGACTTTAATAAGAAGGTCCACTTCTGGATTGTTAATTACGCCATGAAACTCATAGACATCAAGTAGGTACAGGGGATTTCTTAGGAGTTCTCTTCCTCTTTCCCTCAAGGTGTATACGACCCAAAGATATTGGGCAAGAATAGCCTGAGACCTGGAGAATGAGGAAGCTTGCCATTCTTGAATTCCTTTACACAATGCCAGGCACTTAGTAGCTGACTAATGAATAATAATAGCCAGCATTTATATAGGACTTTGAGGTTTACGAAAAATCAGTTTACATAGATTTTTACATTTGATCCTTATAATAGCCTTGTAAGGGAGGTGCTGTTAATATCCCCATTTAACAGATGAGGAAACTGAGGTCAAGAGAGATTTGTCCAAGCTCTCACAGAGAATAAGTGTCTGAGAGAGGATTCCGCCATGGTACCTACTGCCTCTTTGGAATAATACATCCTGCTCCAATAAAATGGTCCTTGAGTTGATTCACTTCTATATACTTTCTTCCATACCCCTTACCTTTCCTAGTCCATAGCAGCCCTAATTTGTAACAGGAAGTTGACTACACTCTATGATGGTTCCCAGGGACAACACAGTTCCAAGGACTTCTACCTCCAAAGGGATAGTTTATAATTCAACTTATAATGGAAGATGAGCTTTGGGGGCACTTAAACCTGGGTAGCCTGGGACCACTCCTTCTCTCAGCTATTATGTTAATCTTCTTCTGGCCTAAAGGTGTTGCCAGACCTGAATTATTGAGGCCATCAGCTCATTTTAGCAACCCTCTGAAGGAGGCAGGGCAGGTAATATCATCACATTTTGTAGACAGGAAAACTGAGATTTGTAAAAATTAAGTGACTTGCCCAAATTAGTGGCAGAGACGGATCTCTCTCCCAGTTCTGTTAATTGCTAGTCTAGCATATTCTATTACACCAAACTGCCTCTGGACAATTCATGTTTTAATTCCCCAGAATCTCTGTGGTACCCACTTTTCAGAGGGGTTAACTGAGGCCTTAAGTTCTCCCCAAGGCACACAGTACACCAGTGGGAAGTCTAGGAATTAGAAGCAACTATTCTCTCTCACAGCTGCTCACTTCTAAACTAACAGTGTAGCTCTGACTAGTTCCCAGCAGCCTGCTTTCTGAGGTCCCCCTGTGGGGCTTCCTGGGTTCCCAAGGGTACGGGGAGGGCAGGCTTTCACCTTATCAAGCAGCCCGTGTTCCAGAGTCAGGTAACTAGAATAGCTCCCTGGTGGCAAAGCTGGAGGGAAAGTGCTGTTCCCTGGAGTGGGGGCAGCCTCCCAGGATGTGCGTCAAAAACAGCCCAGCCTGGGAGTGAAATTTCAAGTCAATCTGAGTTGGAGACAGAGAGAGAAAGAGAGAAGCTGGGGCAGAGTGAAGGTAAGAGGCCAGGGTGGTCTGAACACAGCTCCTCTTGGGGTTCCTACTTTAGGAATTGGGGATGCAATCAGGCATCAAAAGTCCTCTCTTGCCTGTTCCCAGCACAGCCCCCCAAAACCAAGGGGGTGGTGATGGCATCATTGAATACGGCAGAGCCAAGGAGGGGAGGGAGATGACCATGTTCTCCCCAGGGGCCAGGCCTCCTAGTCACACTCGTAGTTACAGTAACCAGGGTCCCAGTTTGTTGGGCTCATCATAGGCTGTGCTCTGGATCCTGGCCCTTAAAAACCGATGCTATCTACTATTCCCTCCCATTCTCCTTCCCCAGGTGCATCCAGACAGTGAAATGTGCGAGGCTAGGCCAGCCTCCTTGCAGAGCCAACAGGTAAGTTCCCCCTAATAAAATGAGGGAAACCCCAATTTTGTTTCCCTTCTCCCTGACACACACAAACCTGTTAGCCCTCACTGCTCTGAGCAGGACCTCCCCTAGACAGTGAGATCATTTCATTCATATGCGCAGAGGTAGGGATCAGCTTGGGGAGGGGGAGAGAAGAGAGGAAGGTGAAAGAGATTGAGAGAGGACAGGAAGTGGGCACATGTTAGGGAACTAGGAACTGGGTCTGTAACCACCAGGGCTGCAACACAGCAGAGAGTATCAAGTGGAGGTGTCTGATTTAAATGTGGGCCTTGGAGGAGGGAAGGAGAGAGAGAGAGAGAATATTTTATATATATGTATATATATATATATGGAGAGAGAGTGTGTGTATGACAGAGAGTATGTGTGTATGAAAGAGAGAGAATACATTATATATATAGAGAGAGAATATATTATATATCAGAATATGACAGAAAGAGAGAGAAAATATTATATATAGTGTGTGCGTATGTGTGTATGACAGAAAGAGGGAGAGATAATATATAGAGAGATATTATATAGAGAGAATATGACAGAGAGAGAGAAAATATTATATATAGAGTGAGTACGTGTATATGTATGACAGAGAGAGAAAGCGAAAATATTATACATACATATATATATATATATATATATATACAGAGAGAGTGTGTGTGTGTATGACAAAGAGAGAGAATATATTATATATAGAGAACATGACAGAAAGAGAGAGAAAATATTATATGTATAGAGAAAAAGAGAGAGAGAGAGAGAGAGAGAGAGAGAGAGAGAGAGAGAGAGAGAGAGAGAGAGAGAGAAATAAGGACAGGATAGAGGTGGGATCTGTCAGTCCCAGGGTTGTGTGTCCCTCAGAAGCCAGGATCCCAGGGCCTTTCATCTCTGTACGAACTCAACACACAAGGGGGAAACTGCAGGAGGGTCCTGGATTGAGCTGTAGTCACTCACCCCACTAGCCAGTTTAATCCTTATTAAAGTGAAAGATTGTTGTCAAGGGCCTAAGCATAGCAACAGCTCGGTCATGGGCAAACCCACAGCTGTGCCAAGAGCTCTGTCCTTTCCCTTGGCTCCCTCCCCAACCTAGCTATTTCCCTCATAACGCCTTGCCTCTATCTGCTAATGCCATTGTTTGAATACCTACCCCTTGCTTTCAGTCCCCTCATTGCCTCCCTCATTACCAATCTCAGTCCCAGGAAAAAAAGAACCCCCATGTAGTCTCTCCCACTCCCATGAGTGGCAACAGCCTGTTTCTCCAAAAAGAAAGCTGACTCTCTTCCCACCCTCTACCCCCCCAAAGCTGGTTTTCCTCTGTTGTTCATATCCATCAATGGACCCATTAGTTCCCAAGCTTTCCATTCAGCTCTAAGAAACCCTTTAAGAACACTATGAATTATGAACATAGCTTTATGTTCCTTTCAAGGCAGGAATAGAACCAGGGAATAGGACTCAGAAAAGATAGAAACTGAGGTTGAAGGTGCTCTTAGGGTCCAGAATTAACCCATTTGGACCACAGGAAGCTGGAGTACTAGCTGGGCCTGAAGTTTGGGTAATGAGACCATTGGCAGCAGCTGGGATGGGCACCATGCCTGGTCTGGTGGCTAGCTTTGTGGGGACTAGGGTCATGTCTGGGTCTATTCGTCAGCACATTCCAGCTGCCTAAGTGTGTAGTCAGCCTCTCTGTAGGGCCTGAAGGGACTTGGCCCTATCCCATGATCCCTCCCTGCACACTTCCCCTAAGAGTAGCATTCCATCCTGGACAGTTAGGAATTTTTCTCCTGCAGGCCTCATGATACATCATCACCTCCCTCTCTCTGCACCTCCCTGCCCCTACCAAACCTCCTTGGGAAAATGTCACCATTACATTGATGCATGGAAACATTCTGTACTCCCAACTGCAAGCTAGAAGACAAGACTACTGCAAAGCCAGAACATCTCAGCTGCCATGCTGCTTCTCAGCTCAGTTAACCTCCTTTGAATCATGAGTTCATCATGACTTGGTCCTGAATACCAATAATAATGGTAAGGGTAATAGTAAATAATAGTTAGCCTTTATAGAGCTCCTAAAGGTTTATAAAGCACTTTACAGATGGTATCTCACCTGATCCTCATAACAGCCTTGTGAAGTAGGTGCTATTATTTCCATTTTTACAGAGGAGGAAACTGAGGCTGAAAGAGGTTACGTGATTTGCCCAGGTCAAACAGCCAGTAAATGTCAGAGGACAAATTTGAGCTTGGATCTTCCTGATTCCAGGATAGAGCCAGTGCTCTATTCATTGTCCTACCCAACTGTCTAGAGTCAAAGGATATCATAGGTGGAAGAAACTGTAATGACCTAGTCTAGCCTCTTAATTTTATAGATGAGGAGACTGAGGTCCAGAGAGAGGAAAGGATTTGCCCAAAGTTACCTAGCCAGTTATTGGCAGATCTGGTCAAGTTCTCAAGGGTTGCCCTGCTGTTGAGAGACTATTATTGACACTTATTAACAATATTATATATTCCAGCACAGTATCTTTCCTGTAGCAGGCATTGAATAATATATGTTGAATTGAATGATAGCACTTTCATGTAATAATGCATTATAATGATGCATTAATAGTCATGATCACACTCATGTTAATGCCAATAACAGATTAATAATCCTGTTTTGATATCAATAATCTGCATCTGGTACTTTATCTTCCCCCAAATACTTTCATATCCGTTGTCCATTTTCCATTGTCTTTTTAGGACTTGGCACTTTGCCCACTTCTTTGGGTCCTTGCCTAGTTTTCCATAAGTCTTTTTGTCCTCACTGTAATCCAAGACCCTGCTTGCCCTTTATGTATGAGTAGGGAGGTGAGGGAGGATGTTCATATGTATTTGCCTCCATCCATAGTTGACAGCAGTGATTGACTTTTATGGCCTCCCTCTGCATCATGGCTTCATTTCCCATGGCTGGTAAGAGCCCTCAACAATATCACTGGCCAGCTCTGTCTACCCTAACTGCCATTTTCACAATGAGCATACTCTCCCAAAGGAGAGTATGTCCAAAAGAGAACTCGTCTTTCCCTCCAAAATCCATCTTTCTTCTGAACTTCCCTATTTCCTTTTATGGGTACTGCCATTCTTGCAATCATTCAAATTGGCAAATTCAGTATCATCTTTGACTTGCTACTTTCCCCCAGGACCCCAGATCCAATCAGCGGTCAAATCCTGTTGATTCTGCCTACACATTTCTCTCATCCATGCCCTCCTCACCATTCACATGGCCACCACACCAAAGGCCTTATCATCTCACTCCAGGACAATCCCAATAGCCTCCTAATCGGTTTCCCTGCTTCAATTCTCTCCCCTGTCCAATCTATCCATCACCCACATGCCCAATAGTAATAAATATACCTTTATACATAATAAACTACATTAATATCATTAAGAATTGATAAAATTAATTCAGTTAATTAAATTAATAGTATATTAAAACATATCTTCATACATAATAAAGAATACTTTACTAATAATACTAAAGCACAGGTCTCACCATAAGCTCTGGGTGCTCCCCATTATCTCTAGCTGCAAATACAAACTGTTCTGTGGCATTTAAATGCAACCTGGTTCCAACTTACCTTTCCAGGTAAGTTGGCTTATTATATATTGCATCCTTTTCCATGCTGTGTGGTCCATCCAGCCAACCTAGCCATGTTGCTGTTCAACATTCCATCCCTTCTCTCTGTGTCTTTACACAGGCCTCCATGCCTGGAATGCACTCCATCCTCACTTTGCTTCCTAGCATTTCTAGTTTCCTTCAAAGCGCCAATGCCACTTTCTATGGGGGGCCTTTCTTGATTGCCTCATTTGTTAGGGCCTCTCCAACAACATTCCCTAGCATTAGTTTGTGTATACTTCTAACAGTACATGCTGTTTCTGAATGCCTCGAGGGCAGGGAGTGTTTCACTTTTTGTCTTGTATCTCCACTACTTAAGGTGTGTCCTGACCCCTAGATACTTGCTGATTAATAGTACTTCTGCACATCTGAAAGTGATATGCAGCCCTACTGACTCAGCTTGTTCCCTTTTTAAAAGCTTTCCTGATGTCTTTTGTTTTTTATAAGGAAAGCATTTCCTAACACTGTCTCATGTCACTGAATCCTCCCTTTGTACCAAGAAAAACAGTTAAGCATAACAAACCAACAATGACTGCTTCTGGCACCATATGTACTGTTCTGGTCCCAGAACCTTCTACCTAGGAGAGAAATGAGTTTCATTATCTGTTCGCAATAGCTACAGTTAGTCACATCAATTTATCTGAGTTCGCCTTTAGTGTTGTATTTATTTTATGTTATTGTTAGTATAGCCATTGTATATTTTCCTCCCCTGGTTCTAAGTCAATTTCATTCAGCATCAGGTCGCTTGTATGCAGGCTTCTCTGAATTCTTCATGTTTGCCTTTTTTCCTTTTTTGCAGGGCAATGATATTCTATTTTATTCAACATTATTCCCCATTTTGTTCAGCCATTCCCTAAGCTATGAACATCTGTTTAGTCCTTGCCTAGGGTTGGCTGCAGGCAGCTGGGTGGGTCAGTGGATAAGAGTGTTGGGCTGGAGTCAAGAAGACAGATCTTGAATTCAAATCTGGCTTCAGACAATTACTAGCTGTATGACTCTGAGCCAGTCACTTTACCCTGTTTGCCTCAGTTTCCTCATCTGTGAAATGAGCAGGAGAAGGAAATGGCAAGCCACTCCAGTATCTTTGCCAAGAAAACCCCAAATGGGATCGCAAAGAGTTGGACACGACTAAAAAAGGACTGAAAAATGTTGGCCACAATGTGCCACCTGTTGCTGGCCTCTATGTTTTCAGTTGTCTCCTTCCTCACTGACTCATCAAAGATTGGAATGGGTTCTTTACTGAGGGGACTTATAGAATTCTCTCTTGTAGAGTCATTTAAAAACAGGATTGGTTCTCAGGGAGGCAGAATAGAATGCTCCAGTGTAGATATGTCAAACACTGCCAGCAACACTCTAGTGCAGCCAGAACCAGATTAAAATGTAATTGGGAAACATGTAGCAAAAGAAGTAAAAATACAGTAAAACATAGATAGCATTACATTTTAAAATTAAGTCAATGTGCAGCCAGTAGGGATCCTTCTGTAAGGACTGGTAGCTGCCTTTCTATTTGAGTTGGACACCACTGCCCTGGTAGAATGAGCCCTAAATAGTGAGTCAGGAGACCTAGGTTTTTGTACTGACTCTTCCACTAATTAGCTGTATGACCCTGGGCTAATTACTTCTCAGAGCCTCAGTTTTCCCATCTGTAAAATAAGAGGATTGTATCAGAAAAAGTCATTTATGTCCACATAAGAGAAATAAGAGGACATATTGAATTTTTCTGTTATTGTTTTTCAATCGCGTCCAACTCTGTGACTCCATTTGGGGTTTTCTTGGCAAAGCTAGTGGAGTGGTTTGCCATTTCCTTTTCCAGTCCATTTTACAGATGGGGAAACTGAGGCAAACAGGGTGAAGTGACTTGCTCGCTACTAAGTGTCTGAAGCCAGATTGGAACTCAGGAAGATTCATCTTCCCGACTCCAGGCCCAGCTCCCTTTCCAACATACCACTTAGCTGCACATAGCTAGTTAATAATAGCTTTTTGAAATCTCTTTCAGTCCTAGAATATCTTAGAAAGTTCCTGGAAATCTGCTTACTAGCATTCCCTAAAAATAATTTCTCAGGAAGGACATTAGGGAATGAAGTCCATAGGAGGCTTGGCAAATTCTTTTTACTGAAATGTTAGGACAGCCAGGGTAGACTTCCCCAAAGGACTACTAGACGTTTAGCATGGTGGCCTATGGGATAACTTGAGAGTCCATTAGTGCATATGAAAATTTCTGTTTATTTTTTAGATTCAGCAAAAACGGTCTACCTATGTTTAAGTTAGCCGGTGGGGGAGGGGATGTTCTACAGATGGAGGAACTGGGAGGCAAAGCTGCCCAATCAGGGGACCAGAAAGAAGGGCAGAAGGGACAGAGGGTCTCCAGTAAGTGGCCAGGGCAATTTCCCAGGATGCTAGATCACTCCCAGTTTCCAGAGGCTCAGCACAGAGCAGCTCCCTTCCCTCGGCATACTGTGCCCCTTCACTGACATTGTTACAAAGGATAAATGATCCCCTGAGCCAAAGGCCAAGTGCCCATTTGCCCTTGGCGGGTAGCTTGACTCTTGGTGGCCGCCCTTCTCACAGTAGGTGTTCAGTCATGCTGCCCTCTGCCTAGAGAATAGCTCAGCATCCTTCAGGGCCTGCTCGGGATGGGCTTTAGCTACTTTGAGGGACACTGGGCTTCTTTTCTCCAGATGTGTCCAGAGGTAGCGTCCCAGAAGCCAACAGCTAGGCCCGAGCATACTTTCTGTGTAGCTACAAACCATATTAATAAACCCATCCACCCTAGAAAGTGAAGGAGCCTGAGGCCAAATTCATGACCTTATGTGAACAGAAGAGCCAGGAACATCATACTGAAATATATGGTGGGGATTTGGAAATACTCTCAGACACATTTGTCCCTTCATCTAGTCTCTGAAGAGCTCAGCTTTACAGGCCTTTGTGAGAAGGGAAGAATTGAGCTTATTAGCTTTTTGTTATAGGCATGATCAGTTCTCCAAATAGATCTGAGGCAGGGAGGGTCTAAGGATAATTCTACATATTTCATGCAGGGGGAAATTGAGGCACTGAGAGGGGATGGGATTTTATTTTTCAAGCCAGTCAGAAATAAAGATACATAAAATTCAGAGCTCCTCACTAATAGCATCAAAGGATTTGGAGCTACGAGGTATGTACATAGGAGTCATTTATTTCCAACTTATCACATTGTAGATAGGGAAACTGAGGCCTATAGAGAAGTGACACAGATAATGAGTAGCAGAGACAGGATTCGAACCCAGATCCATTCCTTTCCCGAT